CCCTTGACATGCAAAACAAAAAGAATTCACAAGAAAGGGATTCGCGAGAGCGGCCCCACTCTCATCGAGGCCCTCGGCTCGGACTTGGTCGCGCACGCCAGCATCGACGGGCACTCGACGGAAGCGGCGCGCTCGGTGCCGCCTGGCTTTGAGACGGCTGGGGGCACCTCCCAGCCAGCTCCCATCGACTGCAGCGTCGGGCCAGCGCCACCGCATCCAATTCAGCTCGCGTGCGCGTTCACCGGATCGAAACTGCTCCAGATTTCCGGCGCTATTCCAGAACCATCGGCCGGTGTCGACTATGTATCGATTGAGCTCGCTCATTACAACGATGCGGCTTGGCGCCCTCGGGTCCATTTCAGCTCCACCGTTTCTGCTCATGGGCGCTTCTCTGCCATGGTGCCGCTACAGCCAGGACGGTCGTACCGCTTAGCTGCTAGGGGTCACCGCCGTGGGTGCGCCGAGGATGGAGGAAACTTCACATTCTCATCACGGTCGTGGATGCCTGGCTCTGCCGAATGCATGACAGGTCGCATCCTACCCGAACCTGCACCTGCCGCCTCTCTGGCAAGTCAGCCAGGGCCTGCGACCCTCTGGCTGGAAGTGTTCGACAGAGCAGCATCGCACGCTGCCCGACTTCCTCGACAATCACGACTCCGGCGATGTCGGCGGGGCGGGCGTAATCGCCTCCTTGGTCGGCTCGGCATCGCCGCTGTCCGCAGCACTGACGTGGACGCGTTACTGTGTGGAGCTGGAGCGGGTGCGAGTCGTCAACACGACGACAACCACATTTGAAGGCACCCCAGCCACCTCCGCCTTCGCCGACTACCTAGGTACCGTTCGACGAATCCCACATGGATGCCACCGTTTACTCCGACCACGCCAGGAGCTGACACAACGCCGGGCGCGGAGTACTCTTCGTGGTGCGCGGTGATGAGTGGCCGCTACCCGGTACGTCGGCTCACTACAATGCGATGCGAGCGCATGCGCAGTTCTTCTCTGCACTATCTCTTCAGTGCCGGCCAGAAGATCCGCCCTGGGATCTTCGGCGCAGGGCGCCGTCACCGGCCCCATGAGCCGCCTGCGAGGCCATTCAGTGCTCATGTGGCACGGCCTGAGCAGGCCTAGCAATGCCTCGGGCCGACCGGCGCCCAGAATTGTTGGTGCTGGCCAGCAACGTGGCCGGCGAGTGCCGTCGTTGCATTGGTGGCGACCACCGCAGAAGCGGTCAGCAGGTGGGAAGGCATCGCTCTCTTTGTAAGGATATTGTCCGTATTCATTGTCTGGTCAATACTTCTGCCTGGATGGCACCTGTGTGCCCAACATGGCGACCCTCGGCCTCCCTCGTGAGTCCACCTCACGCTGATCATTCTCGTCGCTAGCTCAAGCCGAGAAGTGGTCCGCCGACACCAGGAGGAGCGCAACCATCATGGCTGCAGCCTCAGACTGACCGGGTTAGGTCATATCACCGGCGTGGTGGCCCAGAAGTGCGACATTTGCTGCCCGCAGAGCGCTAGCAGCCCACTAGCCGGCACGTCTGTGCGTCGTGCGGGGCTGAACTTCAGGCACGCTGCACGCGGCTAATCGTCGAGAAGAGCTCAACCCCGGCCAGTGAGTGATGGATCTGATCATAATCAATCCCTACTGTGCTGGGGGGCTCACAGATCAGCCGTT